CTTCAGGTCCTGCTGCAGGTCCTGCTGCAGGTCCTACTACAGGTCCTGCTGCAGGATGCTCGTTTTGAAGCTGCTGCTTGAGACAAACCTGCAGCTCCTGCATGCTCCTGGGCATGGACGGGGGAGGACAGCTCTCAGCCAGGTACCGCTCCTTCTCCTCCTCTCGCTCCCGTTCTTCCTCCTCCAGCAAATCTTTGGCAATGGACAGCATCAAACTCTGCCAAAAAAATAATAAAAAGATTAAAACGAGAAAAACAGACACGTTTAATTCAAAGTGTCTCTTAAAAACATCCATAATATCCTGAATACACACGACCAACTTCTAAATATTCCTCTGAAAATGTGTTTGGTTTTCTTGTTGGATTAAATATTAAAATGTATCATTTACCTTGAGATGGTGCTTGCGACTTGAAGACATCTTTTTTCTGAAACATTCAGAAAACTGTTAATTAAACAAAACCAAATATACGAGTCAAGTTGTTTCAAAGTGTAACTCACTCTGACATCTTGATGCTTGTTTGGCTTTTAAACCTACAAAACACGAACAACACAAACAGATTTATTTGCAGATATAAAGTCACGAGCTAAAGGCAAACGACAGAAAACAAGCCCCTAAATGGAGACGAGCCAAAAGTTTTTTGAAATGGAAACAATAATTCCATTTAACAGAAACCCGACCCTGATCGCCTCAGAAACTCTGGAGTCTTTTTTAGGCCGAGGATCAGGATCAGTTGTCAGGATCCAGTTGTTCCTCTGAGCTCTTGTCATGAAAAGCTTCTCAGCTGAAGGATTATCAAGAAACACCCGACACCTTCTCGGCTGCTGCAGACCTCTCAGACATGAGCAACACATGCCTCCAAATAGAAGATCAGACGTGGCCAACATGTGGCCAGAGGGCCAGAAGTGGCCCTTGGACAACCTCCAACCGGCCCCAATACTCACAAACCTTCGCATTAAGGTAGGCTAAAGACTTTTAAAAGTTGTTGTGTTTCTAGAAGAAGACTCAACCTTGAAGACTCTGTGTTATTAATTGATGTTTTGTTGTGTTTAAATTCTTAAAGAGAAGTGCGGAGACATATTTTAGCTAACTAGTCTACGACAAGGACAAGCCTGAAAACAGTCTTCCTCATTATCTGTAAGGAGAATTTATTGTTCACTTCTCTAGACGTTGTAACTTTCTTGATTTGGGCCTCTGGAAGAAAACGCTGCCCCCTCCTGGTCTGGATGAACGATCACGGTTTCCAAACAAAAATCCTCTCGTTTAACTTTAAGTTCATCTCGTTGACTCGAGTTTTATTTTCCACTGTACGTTTGTAGAAAACGTTACGGTTACTACTTGATATTAACGAAATAAATGCAACAGAAACTAACGCGAGAGGTTTGACTTTCACAAGATTAATTAAAAGAACCAAACCTCTAATTTCCTAAAACATATTTTATACAAACTGAATTATTCTTTCATTTGTAAAATGAGACTTTATATCCTGAAGGAAATTCATAAGTTGTGGTAAAAATAATGATTCTTATTTTTGCTGATTTGTTGTCAGTTTGAAGAGAACCCGATCCAAGAAGGAAACCCCGGACTCACTCTCTCCAGAAACACTGTCCACCTCCTCCTGGGGAAGGGAGGTGCCCAGAAGGAGTGACGCCAGAACCTCCTCAGCTGACTGACGCAGAGTCCAGTCAGGATCTGGTTCTCTGTGTCATGACCTCATGACCTCATAGGTGAGGGATGAAACGTGGACGAAGCAGCTGACCGAGAGCCTTGCTGTTTTTTGTTTCACCTCAACAGACTGGTGGAACTTCCTCATTACTGTTGCTGATGCTTCAGTCAGCTGCTCAACACAAACAGTCCACCTCTTTCCTGTTGAGATTCATGAGCTCAGGTTTTGAACTACCACAAATATTTATTTAATTATTTTTCTTCTTTCAGCTGCTCCTTCTTCGGGGTCGCCACAGTGAACTAACTCGTACAAAGAGCTGGCAGTTATTTTTACGCCGGATGCCCGTCCTGACACCAACACAGACCACCGAGCTGCCACAGCCCTCTGTGTGGAGCGGACAGCTCCATAGGGCACCCAGGGGAGCAGATGGTGCGGGTTAAGGGCCTTGCTCAAGGGCTCAGAGTGGGGCAGATGAGGGTGGAAGCAGGTGTGGGTGCTTCACCTTTCCCGTCCACATTTTGATGTTGTCGATACCGGGAGTTGAACCGGCAACCTTCCAATCATAGGCCCGCCTTCTCTAACCTCTGCACCACCGCTCCCCCTCTACTACTGATAATTATACTAATAGGAAAATATTTAATTTAGCCTCTTTGCGGTTTTACTTTTTGCTTAATCCTGTTTTATTTGGCCCCATAATAATTAATAATCCAGAAAAAAGTTTGTCACCGAGAGTTTAAAAATTAAATAGTAAAACTAAAAATACAATAAAATTAGCACAACGTCAATTAGCTAATACTAAAACTTCAGTTCACAAATTTAAATATGTACTGTATACACATTCAGCCTTTTTGACAAAAAAACAAACAAACCTAAAACATTTTCAATGTGGAAGTGAAATCAAACTTCCACAAAGTGAAACTAAATCAAAATAAATTACGTGTGACTGCAGAAGCATCGAGCCCTTTGAAACGGACCGTCCTGATTCAACTCGGAGCAAAAGATTCCTGAAAAGTACAAGTCGGGGGATGGACACAAAAGGACTTTAAGGGTCTGAACGGCCCCGTCATCTAGAAATGAAAGGAATATGGGAACATGTGTCAGTCTACCAAGAGCAGGTCGTCCTCACCAACTGAGTGAGTGTAAAGAAGGAGAACCAAGAGAGAAACCCCTGAGACCACAGTCTGAGCGTACAGCAACTGTTGCCCCAGTTCTTCACCAGTCTGAGCTTTATGGAGAGTGGAAAAGACAAAGTCACTGTTGAAGAAAGCTCAGATTATATCTTGAGTTATTCTGGATCAGTGCAAATATTAGATGTTAATACAGAATTACTGGTCACTTGACTCAAACATGCAACAAAATGTTGCGTCGCTGCAGCCACGCACGAGTCTCTGCCTTTTTTAAATTGAGGAAACCGATAAATTAGGTTACAGTTAAATAGCCATCTTTTATAAAATATAGTTTTACTGTAAATAATCTTAAATGTATTAAATATTATGTACTTTAATTAAAGAGCAGAGTTTGGGCCATTGCTATAGATGGAGGTTTAAAAGTTTGTCGGCGGGCGTTTAATGTGCCGTACTCTTGTTAAAGGGTGTGTTCGGAGCCTTGGAGGACATGGAGGAGGGTGGTGCAGAGGTTATGGCAAGCCTGCAATCGGAAGTTCACCGGATCAACTCCCTGAACTACAGCAACAAAATTTGGGTGGAAAAGTCGAGGCACCCTGAAACCACCCTCATCTGTCCCACTCTGGGCCCTTGACCGAGGCCTTTAACCCCCACCTTCTGCTCCCCGGGTGCCCCAGGTGCAGCTCCCTGCTCCACACAGAGGGCTGTGGTAGCTCGGTGGTCTGTGCTCGAGTCAGGAAGGACATCTGGCGTAAGATTAATTGCCGAGTGTTCGTGCGACTCAGTTCGATGTGGCGACCGCTGAAGAAGGAGCAGCCGAAAGAAGAAGAAGGAAAAACCCGTGTTGCATAAAGTATTTACTGAGAGAAACACACAAAGTATTCCAGGACGGGTCGTGTCTAATATTAAAAACTGTACATTTGTTTTAAACATTTAAATGTTTATCATGATCAAAGTATTTTTTCCATGACTTAGTTCTGAAGCAGACTTTGAGCAAAGTACTACCTCTGAACTCACTCTACAATGTACTGATGTATTTTATTTACACCTAAATTACTAAAACTAGGCCTAAAAATAATTTGGCTGATCAGTAGATGTATGGGGATTAAATCTGAGACCAACAGGAGCACATTTGTTTAAAGTTTATTTCAATAAGACATTAAAATCTACAATACGCTGACGATTAATGGGTTTCTTGTTTCTTTCTCCAGAGATCACATACTTCATTAAACTGAGTATTACCCCTGCAGCAGCTAAAATAACTAATGTTACTGCAGAAATTCTGAAGTACTTGAATTTTCTTTACAAACAAGGAAAACAGAATAAAAAAGCATTTGTTGTAAATGAAGCGCAAGAGAGAGCATCAGCAAACAGCCACAATTCTAACTTCCTGTTCTGAGCTGCACGACAAACCGACGCTAAAAAATAAAAGATATATTTCCAGAGATAAAAGATAAAGTTCTTACGGTGCTGCAGAGGTGGAAACAGGAGAGAGAAGAGATCTGAGATGCTGCTCCGGTCCTGGTTTTAGAGCTTGTATTGTATTCCCTCAAGGTAAAGGAAACACGTTTTCCTTTTATGGGAGTCAATTTATTTAAGTGGCCAATAGGCGCTCCAGCACGGGGAATTTTATTTCTAACTACCCCCTCAAATCTTTATCCCTTTATGGTAAAAAAACCCCACAACATCTCTGCCTGGAGTGCTGCATTTTGTTTTTCCACAACAACAAAACCATTTGCTTATGATTTTAGAAGTGAAATAGAAAAGAAGCTCCTAGAACGTGATTCAGTGCAATATAAATAACCCGTCGAGGTCCGGTTGGGTTTGAAGGCAGCTGCTCTGTGACACAGACGAGGGAATAGAGGTGCTGAGAGTTGAGGACAGCAGGTGGAAGGGCAGGAAATAAAACCCATTAAAGACAGACCTAATGGACGCCGTTAAGAAGGCGTTGACGGGACAAAAAGACGAGACGATCCGTCCCCACACCACTCAGAAGTTTCTGAGCCGGAAAATAAAATCAGGAGATGTTTTATTATAAGTTCACCACAGAAGTCACCTCAGGCCACAGGACAAAAGAGAAAAGAGCAAATGATTTTTAAAAAACTGTTCAGTCCACTTACAGCTCTTCTGGGAGGACTCCAAGCAGCGTGTCTCCAAGGTCTCCTCCCAGTTGGACATGCCCGAAGCACCCAGGGAGCATCCTTACCAGAGTTCATGACCAGAGGTGAGGGGAGGAACGTAGACTGACCTGTAAACGGAGAGCTTTGTCTTACAGCTCAGCTCCCTCTTCACCACAACGGACCGGCACAGAGTCCACAATACTGCAGAAGCTGCACCAATCTGTCTGTCAATCTCACGCTCCGTTCTTCTCTCACTCGTGAACAAAACCCAGAGATACTTGAACTCATCCACTTGAGGCAGAACCTCACCCTCGACCTGAAGAGAACAATCCACCCTTTTCTCTTGGCAGCAGAACTAAAGGAGAGCTAAATCAAAAATAACAGAAATAAATAAATCTGTCTCCTTAATAGCAGGAGTGGTGGCCTAGAGGTAGAGAGAGCAAACCTGCCATCGGAAAGTCACCAGTTCGCCTCCCTGGACAGATATCAAATGTGGGTGGAAAAGGTGAAGCACCTGCCTCCACCCTCATCTGCCCCACTCCGGGCCCTTGAGCAAGGCTCTTAACCTCCACCATCTGCTCCCCCGGGCACCCTAGATGCAGCTCTCTGCTCCTCACAGAGGCTGTGGTAGCTCGGTGTGTGTGGTTGTGTCAGGAAGGACATCTGGTGTAAAATCAATCACCAAGTCTTCATGAGACCTTTAGTTCACTGTGGCGACTCCTGAAGACGGAGCAGCGAGAAAAAACAAATCCTTAGTAGTCGTATTTTTCATCAGGATGTGTTTTACCAGACCCATTCCATTTACTGATTCTCTCACATGTATACAGGAAGTTATTATAAAATAATGTATAATC